TTTAAATTTTGAACAAATATTTGTATATACAATTTTGAATGCATATCAAATCAAATCAAATCGGTGCGCTTCGCTACCCCTGGTTCAGCTAGCAATAAATAAAACACATTAAACGTCTCCTTTCTAATCTCGGAAAATCAATTAGTTTTAGGCAATTTTCATATGGTGGAAGTGTGACATTATTATCCCACCTTAATTCTTTGAGTGCGAATAAAAGGAATTGGGTTTGCACTGATTCCAATTTAGTTGAACATGGTTTAAAAATAAAGGACTCCTCAATACGCTACCGTATTCTTTAGTTGGCCGAATCACATAAGGATTGTCAATTTTTTTAGACTATCGTTTTATAAAAACAAGCAATGACTATTTTCACATGAATCAATATGCAAAATAAAACAAAATCTGCCAAGATCGACGAATGAATCAATATTGTCTAATTTGCAAAAACCAATGAGGTAATCACTATTAAAAAGGTTGTGTACTACACAAAAACAGTTTTTTACATTTCTTGAGATTTAGCGTCATGCCATTAGCACTGAACCAATTTACAAGGGAGTAGATATCATGTTGCATGTAAAGGAAAAATGTGTGAGTCCATATACAAAAAAGTTTGACATCATCAGCAAACATTAGGATTTTAGAATAACGTATAACCGCTGGAAGATCATTAGATACAGTACAAAAATTAGTGGACCTAAATGCCTTTCCTGTGGTATACGTCCTTGCAAAGATGACCATATCCATGATAAGAATAATGTTGCGAAACCGATTTTTCAAGATTTAATAATGATAATGTATGATCTACTTTGTCAAAAGACTTACTGATATCAGTATATATGATATTAGTTTGACATTTTATTTAAGAACTTGTTCACGTCTGAGACCTGCTAATACTAACAACTCTAACAGGGTGCCTCTTCCAGACTCCAGCGGACCATTTACACGGGCAGACGAATCATAACCATATGTTATAGTGTGAGTTCTTCAAACAATGAATGGTGGATAGACATGTCAGGGAGAACCTGATCTTCATTTCATTTATTTCACACAGTTTATTATTAAGAAGTAAGCAAAGGCTAAAGTCGTGCGAGACCGACCATGTGATACCCTACAACACTACAATATGTTAGAAGCCCCCTCATGTCCAAATTCATTTTGGAAGATTTCGTTTTTGAAATGATGTCACGGAGCACTGCCCAGATATTACCCTTAGCATTTTGACCAGGGACATTTGTCCAATATTTACGCACTCCGTCGTGCTGTTAGTTGTTGTGGTCCATTTCAGAGATAAATATAAGCCAATGGTTATCTAAAATGTTGGAATTTTTCCCTGTCCTTATCTCTCTTCTCAGACTTCAATTGTGTGATCAGAAAATTTTTTCTGTTTTTGGTTCATTTGAACCCCTAAATATTTTGCGATCATCTCCAAAAGCAAGAGGCCTCTCTGTATCTCCAAATCTAGACTCATTTCGTCAACGAAAACAGCATAAAAACCCAGAAGTTCGCCTTTTGTGTATTTCGGATATCGCCTGTGAGTAATGTTGGTATTTTTTCACATAGAAGTAGTAGTCCATTCTTCCCGCTGTCCTAAACTCTAACTTCATGCGAGATTTCGTGTCCTTTGGTTTCTATTTGTGACTTTTATAACGGCTGCAAAATCAGGAACATTTTTAGTTGTTTGTCCATTTCAACCCCTAAATACATTGCGGACTTCTTCGAAAACAATAGGTCTAGTCCTACTGAGCCTAACCCTACCCTTGTGAACATTTTCGTGAGGATCGGGCAATAATTGCAATCTGTATATAATAACCCCAACCTGTGTTGTAAGGTGAGAAAATATTACAAAATGTATACTTCAATATTTTAAGTCATATTGAAAAAATTGCATGCGATAAAAAATGTAACAAAATGCTACAAAATCTATATTATCATTATTATTGGCATCTTTTAATGCATTTTTTTAAGATTATATACTTTTATGCCAAGAGGTCATTCTGAATTGACAAACATTTTTTTTGATTTGATTTTGATTTCTTTCTTTCTTTCTTTCTTTATTCAATTCATACTTAATACTAAAGCCAAGGCCAATTAATTGTATTAATAAGGTACTCAAAACCAAGTAGAAAAAATTAAAAATAACTTATAATTAACTATAACATTATTAAAAAACAAATTGTAAAAGGCTCCCCAGCCAAAACTACAAAAAATAAAAAACAAAAGTAAAAAAAAATGAGTCAATAGAGGCAAAATAACCAACAACAAGCAATTAAATTTTTTTAAAAAAGGTGAACAATAAAGGCGACGATAAAAATAATTTAAAAATTATTATAAAAAAGAAAATAAAAGCTCAAAACAACGAAAATAAAACTAATTGGGATATATACCGGGATGCAGGACATGATACAACACTTTCAAACGAAAGGCATTATTAGAATGGGAAAAAAATTCTAAGCTCAATAGGTAGATAATTCCACAAGCGTGCAATACGTACAAAAAAAGACTTTTCAAATGTTAAGTTATTTATTCTGGGTATTAATATCTGAGTACTCCTAGTTGACCTGGAAAAACTGACCATGTTAGCCAGAAACCTAGGAACACCACCTCTGATAGTTTTGTAAAAATAATGCAATAACTTAACAGATAAAAATTGCTCAAAAGAAACTCCCAGGAAATCTATAACAAAATTTGAGATATGATCACGTTTCTTCAAGCCATACACAAATCTGACTATAGCATTAACTACACGCTTAATTCTTAAACAAATACAATTTATCGTACCAGAAACCAGCTCGAGCCCATAATTGATATGAGGCATTAAAAGAGCATTCGCCAACCTCTTTTTAACCCACAATGGTAAAAATAAATTAGTACCATATAATCTACGAATAATAGCAAAAACTCGTCTCTGAACGGAATCGACATGAGTCTCAAAAGAAAGTTTATCATCTACTAAAATACCCAGCATTCTGTGACAGCTTACAAAACTAATTAGATTACCATCGAGAGCAATATTTAGATTATATGCATTACTGCCAAACTTAATAGCCTTTGTCTTTGACGGATTCAATACCAGACAATGTTCAAAACACCACTGTCCAACATGAACAAGACAATTATTAATTTCACTTTCAAAAGCTATAGGATTAATATTAGAATTTTTCCGCCGTTCGCGGAAGCATAGCTGAGTGCTACCGGACGCGTCCACGGGTTGCGGATAGTGGGACGCCCGGTAGATATATCGGGTAGCTGCGAATCAAATAAGCAGTCGCGGACAGCTCAGCGGTTTCTAGGGGGAGAGTCTCGGACTAAATACCCGAGTGCCTGTGATCCCTGGACTCGACGAGGCGGCACTGGCGCCCCTAAACTATCCAGTCAACGGCCTGGTCCACCGCAACGGACCCCCTAATGCTGGGGTGTTACGTAAACCGTGCCCATCAGTATTCCAAGGTTTGCAGTCAGGGTACCGACTGTATTAGAAGGTTGCCTCGTCGATACCTGGGCGCCTCGACGAGTAACAGGCTTAGCTGCCAAGTCCTTACCATGATATGGAGGCTATGTCATGGCGGACCTCGTCACCTCCAATGTCCCGATAACTTATGGAGAACAAAACTAAACAAAAAACAACAACAAAAACACAAACATTAACCGACAATCATTCAACCACCTCTTCGGAGGTGTCGACCCAGGACATGGCCATGGACAAGATTTTAACTTCGGGCGGGGACGTGACTCTGGAAACGTACAGAGACGTAGTATGTGAAAGCATACAGCGACAGAGTGAACAGCTGTCCGCCCTTCTAGAGAAGACCACTCTAAGGCTCAGCCAAGAGAGTGTGCCCTCCGGCTTTGGGAATGACTCACCCCTCTCTGATGAGGAACTTGACGTCACCGTCATACCCTCATCCTTGAGGAGTGAGTCAGCTTCAAAAACTATAGAGAGCACTTAATCTGCTGCCAAGGGGGGGTCAACTCCTGTGGAAGGGGTTACATCGGTACCTACCGATGCGACCAACCTCCGGATCGAGGATGGCGTCGTGGAAAGGGACACTGATGTTCCAACCAACCGCGATGCCTCCGGATCGAAGGAGGTAAAAATAAGGAAGGGTTACAAACGGTCGGTGAGGTACTGTAAGAGCTTCATCGGTCGCGAACCCTTACAAATTACAGAGAGGGAAAAAGCCCTGATTAGGGTGAACATGAAGGCAATAAGGAAGTTCGAGAAGAACCATCCGGAAGTGCCTAAATGTACACTTGAAAAGGACCTTGCCTCTCTCTTTACAGCCCCCGCTAACAAGGTAAGTCCGTCTGAGGATAAGCCAACTAGTGGGGCTGGGGTGAAGGGCAACACCTCTCCCGGCGGTGGAAAGACAGCTTCGGCTGTTGCACCACCAAAACTAAACAAAAAACAACAACAAAAACACAAACATTAACCGACAATCATTCAACCACCTCTTCGGAGGTGTCGACCCAGGACATGGCCATGGACAAGATTTTAACTTCGGGCGGGGACGTGACTCTGGAAACGTACAGAGACGTAGTATGTGAAAGCATACAGCGACAGAGTGAACAGCTGTCCGCCCTTCTAGAGAAGACCACTCTAAGGCTCAGCCAAGAGAGTGTGCCCTCCGGCTTTGGGAATGACTCACCCCTCTCTGATGAGGAACTTGACGTCACCGTCATACCCTCATCCTTGAGGAGTGAGTCAGCTTCAAAAACTATAGAGAGCACTCAATCTGCTGCCAAGGGGGGGTCAACTCCTGTGGAAGGGGTTACATCGGTACCTACCGATGCGACCAACCTCCGGATCGAGGATGGCGTCGTGGAAAGGGACACTGATGTTCCAACCAACCGCGATGCCTCCGGATCGAAGGAGGTAAAAATAAGGAAGGGTTACAAACGGTCGGTGAGGTACTGTAAGAGCTTCATCGGTCGCGAACCCTTACAAATTACAGAGAGGGAAAAAGCCCTGATTAGGGTGAACATGAAGGCAATAAGGAAGTTCGAGAAGAACCATCCGGAAGTGCCTAAATGTACACTTGAAAAGGACCTTGCCTCTCTCTTTACAGCCCCCGCTAACAAGGTAAGTCCGTCTGAGGATAAGCCAACTAGTGGGGCTGGGGTGAAGGGCAACACCTCTCCCGGCGGTGGAAAGACAGCTTCGGCTGTTGCACCACCAACGGAATCTAGTGTAGCCCCCACCACTTCTAACTCAGGAAAACGGAGGAACAAAAGGAAGGACGCCCCTAACGGAAATCCTGCCCCGGTGGAACCAAAGGAGGCCATATCCTCTTCTCGGGTAACGATGAAGAGAGAACGGTCAACGGAGGAACCACATCCCGAGGCAAAGAAACCGTTAACGGGCAAACTTCCTCCTCCGCCAACTGCGGCTTCTACGCCAGTAGCTGTAGCTGGTAGGGAGGTAGTGGCAAGGCCGGTGCAAGCAGCCTCAGTGGACCCTAGGTCTGCTAAGGCGAAGCCTGCTACCACCAACCCACAACCTTCAAGCCAGACATCAAGGAAGAGGAAACACTCCCAAACCCTGTACCCGGACAATCTCCGTGTAGCGGTCATCGACCGAGCTGAGCCGGAAGGCAAAATCAGCGAAAGTCGGTGGCTTCTCATTGAGGACCGTCTGAGGGAACAGGTTTTCCTGGGGGAGGATCCTTCTAGGTTACGGTTTGGCAGTGCTACCGTCTACAAGGGAGTGAAGGTCATCTGCTGCGAAAATGAGGAGTCAAAGAACTTCCTCGTGACCGCAGTAGCTGGCCTTCAGGAACTTTGGGATGGAAGTGCACTTGCTGCTGTATCCCTGAAGGATATCCCCTGCAGGAGGATTTTGACAGCATGGGTGCCGCCGCCCTCTGTGGACCCGGCACGCGTGCTGATAATATTGGGGAAGCAGAATCCCAATCTCTGCACGGACGGCTGGCGTTTGGTTGGCTCAAGTACGGAGGGAGGGGGCCTGGTCATAAAGGTTTCTGTTGATACTGCTGGCCAGGAATACCTTCAGGCTCGTGGAGGGAAATTGCACTTCGGCACAGGATGGATTCGGTTCCGTCTAACGCCGCCGTCGCAGTAGGAGAAACGAAGCCACAGCTGCTTAGCATTGTGCAGATTAACCTGCATCACTGCAAGGCAGCTGGGGCTGAGCTTCTCCTATCCCTCTCCAAGCTTGAAGTTGACATAGCCCTGGTCCAGGAACCTTACATTTTTAAGAATAAGGTAACTGGGCTAGGGAGTGAGCGGTACATCACCTATGCCACCTCCAATGGGGAAAAGGTTAGAACGTGTATCGTCGCTAAGAAAAACTTAAACTTAATCTTCCTCAACAATTTCAGCGGAGGAGACGCCACAGCGGTCAGACTGGAGACTAGGACGGGCAAAACACTATTCCTCGTCTCCCTGTACCTTCCCTTCGAGCACCCCGACCCACCAGGCCAAGTGGTAGAGGAGCTGGCCTCAGTACTGGGTGGAAAAGGCGGCCTCATCATTGGATGCGATGCAAACGCTCATCACTCTCAATGGGGCAGTAGTAACACCAATGCCAGAGGTGAGTTCATTTTTGATTTTATCTTATCTCATAATCTCAAAATCTGTAACCGGGGAAAGGAGGCGACTTTTTGTATTAAGAATAGGGAGGAGGTCATAGATCTCACTCTCACTAACATGGATGAATCACTTATACTGAACTGGAAAGTTTCGACTGAGTGTTCCTTCTCGGACCACCGGAAAATAACATTCCAAATTTCGGTAGAGGGATTGAATCAAAAACCGCATAGGAACCCGAGAAGGGCTGGATGGAATCAATTTGCGGAGCATACCGCACGGATGCTTAAGTCCACTGGTGATTTTCCAGTGGCCTCGGCATCGGATGTGGACGACTCCGTCAAGTTGCTAACAAAGATCCTGATCGGCAGCTATGAAAGAGCCTGTCCGCTAACCTTCCCGGGTAAAAGGCACCAGCCTGTCTGGTGGTCGAAAGACCTAGCTCAGCTCAGGAAGACTAGCAGACGACTATACAATAAGGCCAACAAGACCAAACTGGGTACGGACTGGGAAGCTTATAAACTAGCCTTCAATAAGTACAACAGTGAGATCAAGAAGGCCAAGAGACGGTCTTGGGTGTGTTTCACCGAGTCCATAGATGATGTCAACGCAGCCTCCAGATTCCGTAGAGTACTTTCAAAGGACCCAAATTCCATTGGAAGCATAAAGCGGACTGATGGTAGCTGGACTGACTCAGGTTTAGAGACTCTCAATCTATTAGCCAGTACTCACTTTCCGAACTGCTCTGATGCGGTATTTGACCGATTGGCAACACGGTCTAGTCAGCATAGTGGGACGGAAGATGTGAATCTGACTAACAGTATTGTTAACACCCCCAAGATTTTGTGGGCCATTAACTCATTCAAACCTTTTAAGTCACCGGGTCCAGATGGCATTATCCCCGCCATGCTACAGCATGCGTCGGCGGAGATAATACCAGTTCTGGAGGTGATTTTTAAGGCTTGTCTGCGTCTTTCTCACATCCCACTACTGTGGAGGGAAGTTACAGTCACTTACATTCCCAAAGCTGGGAAGCCAAGCCATGTTCTTCCAAAAGACTACAGGCCTATTAGTCTCTCGTCTTTTCTATTGAAAACGCTAGAGAGACTAATAGACATAGAGATCAGATCTCTAATACCCCTGACCTCTTTAAGCACTGCTCAGCACGCCTATATGAAAGGCAAATCTGTTGAGTCAGCGCAGCACGACGTCGTGGGTTATATAGAGAAGAACCTGAACAGCTCATGTTTCACGTTGGCGGCCTTCCTCGATATCGAGGGGGCCTTCAATAATGTTACATTAGAGGCAATTCACAGTTCTCTCGAAAGACTTAGTGTGCCACCACTTCTCGTCGACTGGATTGATGTTATGCTCAGCAGCAGAATCATCAACTCTAGCATCGGGGAGTGTTCTGTTAGGAAAACGGTCACTAGGGGTACTCCACAAGGAGGCGTTTTGTCACCACTGCTTTGGCTTCTGGTGATAAATAACATTCTACTTGATCTGGAACACAGCGGAACAAAGGTCGTGGCTTACGCCGACGATGTGGTCCTGCTGATTGCTGGGAGATTTCCGCAAACTATTACGGATCTTATGCAGGGAGCTCTGGTTAAACTCTCCAGATGGGCGCGCTGCAATGGTTTAGGCGTGAACCCATCTAAAACTGAGCTCGTACTTTTTACAAGGAGGCGGAAAATACCCGTCCTCTCTCTCCCAATGCTGGATGGTGTAACTCTAAGCCTTTCTTCGGAAGCAAAATATCTCGGTACCATTCTAGACCAGAAGTTAAGCTGGAAAAGGAATATCGAGGAGCGAGCGAAAAAGGGCTTAAATGCACTTTATTCCTGCAAGAACTCCATAGGAAAGAGTTGGGGGCTTAAACCCCATATTATCCGATGGATATATGAGTCAGTTGTCCGACCAATCCTTACCTATGGCGGACTTGTGTGGTGGCATTCCTTACGGAAAACCACCTTCAGCAAGAATATTGACAAAGTACAAAGAGTCGCATCGCTACTAATTACAGGAGCGGTCAGGAGCACGCCACAATCCGCTCTAGACACCCTACTCAACTTAAAGCCTCTAGGCTTATTTGTAGAGGAACTAGCCGCTAGGTGTGCCCTGCGACTCAACGAATTGGGACAATGGCGGAGTCAACCCTTCGGGCACTCTGTCATTCTTAAGTATGTGGAAAACGTAAGTAATCAGGCTATAGCTAGTGACTATATACTCCCTAGGCACAGCTTTGATCTACTTGACATCCGCATACCAAACAGGGATATCTGGTCCCGTGGCACTCCACCTTTCGACGGTATAGCTGTCTATACTGATGGTTCAAAGATGGAAAGTGGAACGGGTGCTGGAGTCTACTGTGAAAGCCTAGGTATCCAAAGATCCTTCAGGCTAAACAGCGATTGCAGCGTTTTTCAGGCAGAAATATTTGCTGTCAGAATGGCCATAGAACTGCTGAATAATAGAATTAACGAACGGGATGGACCGGTGACTATATATGTCGATAGTCAAGCGGCCCTAAAAGCTCTAAATTCTTTCACAATCAAGTCTATGACTGTTCTGGAGTGCAAGAATGCCCTGGAAAAGTTTAAGTCAGTTGTCAAGCTCTGTTGGGTCCCTGGACACTGCAACATATCTGGCAATGAATCTGCCGATGAATTGGCCAGACGCGGATCTGAGTCAGTAGATCTAGAGATCGAGAGCTCAGTGAAGCCACCTTTATGCCACTTCTTTCAAGTTCTGCATAAACACTATCTTGGAAGATTTCAACAGAACTGGCTATCTGGAAGGGGATGCATCATCTCCAAAAAGATTTGGCCGGTGAACTCCGAACGGAGATCACGGTCACTCTTGTCCATGACGAAGTTGGACTTGAAGCTTGTGGTGGGCCTAATTACAGGTCATTGCAACATAAAGGCCATGACTTCAAAATGGGGGGGTGACGACACTGAATACTGCAGGCTATGTCAGGACGAGGAAGAAACAGAAACGGTGGAACACTTACTCTGTCATTGTCCTACCCTTATCGGAGTAAGACATAGGCTTCTGGGTAAGCACTTACTGCCTGACCTGTCGTGCCTCTCCGAAACAGAACCAGCAGTCATTCTTCAATTAGCCAGAAGACTAAAATGGCTAAGGACGACACGCTGATTACACCGTGGACGCAAACCCACTAGCTCTTCTAATTCTTCTAAATCTTATTTTCTACACTAACTATCTTTCTTACCTCACTTCCACTTTTTTCTAGACTAGGATGATCACAATGGGCCAGTAGGTCTCCGAGTGGAGTGGTTGTTGTTTTTACACAGCCACACATCCTTTAACCTAACCTAACCTAATATTAGAATTGGTAAAAACGAGAAACACATCATCCGCATATAAGAGAGGAGTGCAATTTACACCATTGCAACATTCAGAGAGGTTATTGACATATAAAATGAAAAACAAAGGACCTAATACGGAGCCCTGCGGAACACCACACGAAAGCAATGCCACATTTGAGGATCTGCCATTGTAATAAACAAATTGGGATCTACCAGACAAATATGATAAAATAAGATTACAAGCTGTCTCAGAAAAATCAAACTCATACATCAGTTTACTGAGTAATATTTGATGAGAAAGAGAATCAAATGCCCTTGTTAAATCCAATGAAACAATTACAGTATCCTTTTTAAGGTTCGTGTTAGATCTCACTAACTCAGTTAAGTAAAGAAGCAAACTTGTGGTATTATGATTCCTACGGAAAGCAAATTGACCATTATATAACTTGCCTGCAATATGAGCAAGTATTTGGTCCTTCATAACATGCTCACACACCTTAGCCATCACAGGGAGAATTGATATAGGCCTGAGATCATCAGGGCCACGAACAACATTCCCCTTTGGAATTGGAACGACACGAGCTTGCTTCCACAAGCAAGGAAACACAGACGACATCAAAACAGAATTGACCAAATCCAAAATAATATCACTAACATATGGAAAGATTAATTTCAAAAAATCCACAGGTATTCCATCAACTCCGACAGATTTAGACTTTATTCGGTTTAGTGCATTAATAATTTCTTCCATACGAACACAACTAAAAGAAAATCCATCACTGCGTGCGTTAGACAATTGCACATCAATATTAGGCATATGTGAGTTCCTATATTGAAAAAAATAGTTCAGATCACCAACATCAATGTCAAGAGACATATCATCATCACCAATACAACCCGAAGCCCTAAAAAAACGCCAAATAGCAGTTGAACCCAACGTATTAAATTTCTTAGAGTAATACTTTCTACGCTCACGACGAATAACTAACTTCGCTCTATTACGATAACGACAAACAATTTTCCAATTATCATTGCTTTTATTATCAAGGCAAGCCTTAAAAGCCAAATCACGAAGTGATCGAGCAAGTGTAATGCGATTTGAGCTAATCCAATTATCATCAGATCGCATTTTTCTATGCACCAAAGGAACATAATCAAACAACCCCAACAAAAGATTTGATATTTGAGAACATTTAGCGTCAACATCCACAACATTCATCATATCAATATTAAAGGCTGATAGATAAGAAAAAAAAAAACCGGCCAGTCAACACAAGAGTAATCTCGATACTCAACAAAATCACAAAATGTATTAACACCAATATTTAACGATGCAAAAATAAGTGAATGGTCAGATATCGATGGACATATTGCCTGATCAGACAGATGTACCATAGCGCAATCATTTATCAGCATAAAATCAAGCAGAGAAGACGCACGATGTGTAAAATCATAGTGAGTAGGTTTGGAATTATGAAAAACTGACAAGTTTAATCGGAAGCAGACTGAACGGACAGACATAGATTTATGCGGATCAAACATATTAGTATTAAAATCACCCACTATAACAATTTTTGAATACTCTAAAAATAAATCACTATGAATATCTTCAAAAACATTAATATCACCTGGAGGAGGAAGATACACAACATCAAACAGAACCTTTTCATCGCCAGACATAACCTCAATAAAAAGCGATTCGCATTTACCTACCACAGATGATCTGAAAACAACTTTATGAGAAATATCACTAGAAATATATATACCAACACCACCACCTCTAGAGTATCGATGGTCATTCCTCACAAATTTATAACCAGGTACATTTATTGCACTAGTTGGAATATCAGATTTCAGCCAAGTTTCAGATATACCAAGAAAATTCAAGCCTGATCCCGATAAAATATTTTTGAGTTCACAAAACTTCGTTGTATTCATAGATGGCCTAATACTGCGTGAGTTTATATGAGCCACATTAAACTTATTACTGCAAGAAACCAAAACATGTTTAATATAATCATTGTTGCTTATCACCGGCCCCAAATTAGTACTAAAAGACATCAAATACATAACACGTAGTTGTGGCGGGGAACCAATTATAAGAATTCAACAAAATTTTACTAATAAAATATAATTTCAATAAATTCATAATGAAAAATAAATACAATTTTAACGCAGCTGAATGCTATAAAATGAATTAAAAAAAATAGATAAATTGATCCAGCACAAAAACAGGATAAGAAAATGAATGGAATCGAAAGCAATTAAATTAATCAAAAATTAAAGCAATTAAGAAAAAAAATCAATAGAAATATTAATTAGAAAAAAAAAAAATATTGATATGCAAATTTAATTTCCACCGCCTTCCGCATCCGCAAGCAATGTCTCACATTGACTAACGTTGTAAGTATCCTCTCTACCATCAGAAAAAACCAGCCATGCCTTTACAATATCAGAATTCAAAATCTTACATTTTTTGACTACTTTAAGGCGACGCAGTTTTTTGCAAACAAAGTTTAAATGCGATGCAGCAGGCGAAAAATGATCATTAAGGTACACTCTGTTATTTAAAGTAACACCTTGGACACCAAGTAGATCACAGATTCGAAGATTGCGAGTTTTAAAATATTCTCTCATGATGCAATCTCGCTGGGACTAAAAATATTCGCGGATTATTGTAAAATTTGACTGTTATTTAACACAAATGTTATGGTCTATTTCGCCCACTAAATATTACCCGATGACCAAAATTGGAAGGCTTCTGCCCAGACCTAAGATCTAGCCACATGCTAAATTCCAAAATCAGGACATTTTCAGGTTTTGGTCCATTTCAACCCCTAAATAAATAGATCATCTCCAAAAGAAATACGTTTCTATTCTGACCCTAGACCCACCTCCATTCTAAATTTCGTGAAGATCGAGTTATAAATGCGACCTGTAGAGTGATTACAAATTAAAATGGACAGACGGAAGGACGGACATACATAGCTAGATCGACTCCGCTCGGCGAGGTAGGAAGATCCATATATACTTTCCTATGGGGAAAACCAATATTTCGAGGTGTTACACAATTTTTGGCTCAATCAAACTTATAATACTCCAAACACATAGTGTTGTAGGATATAAAAAGACCAACACGGCCAATATATTGTATTAACGTGCAATACCGAAAAAGAACAAATGCCTCTTTAAAAATAAAATGGTTTTATAATAATTGGTAGTATCTACTGGATCTATGCGGAACATTATTTCTAATAGATGAGATTAGGAAATCTGAAGGTATATTACCATATTATATTTTTAGTACAAACATGAAGTTCAACATAATACGTCTGCTTTTAAGTTTAGGCAACCTAATTAATTTTATCCTGCTAGCAATACAAAATTACTATTCTAATGTAAACCTCGCAAGGCAAATAGCAGAAATTGTTTTTGAACGGATTCTATTTTATCTGAGTATATTGCATATTGAGGATCCCATACAACAGAACCGTATTATAATATAGGTCTAACAAGAGGCGTTTTGTTATATATGGATCAGAAAATTAATCAGAAAATTAACAAAACCTAGAACACTATTTGCTTTACTTACCAATGTTATTACATGGCTACTAACATTTTAATTTTGGATACATCAAGATACCAAGATCGACAAACGAATCTACAGTTGATAATGAATGACCGTCAGTAATATCAGAGAAGAAGATCTGGAGAAGCACATATGCTTACATTTGCTTAAATTTAAATCCATAAAATTAAACTTGCACCATTGAAAAAGGCTATCTAAATAGTTTTTAAGTAAATTAGCTTGTTTATCACAATTATGGGAAATGTATAATTTAACATCATCTGCGTACATTAACAATTTCGAGTAATTTATAAATTTAAAATTAATACATAACAAAAATTAGCAATAGCAAATTTAGTTCAAAATAATTAGACTCTCAAAAAGGAGTCGAACCCTTCCACCTAGCTGAAACGGAAAAAAATAAAAGGATCGATACGTGATACTACTATTCATCACTCGCATTCAATTGAGCAAATGTCTACAAGCATAGAAACTAATAAATTCCTAAAAAAGTAAATTTTTTCTATGAAAAACAATCATAAAAAATGTATTTAAAAATAAATATTAAACCAATCAGCAAATCAATGAACAGATAAATATTAAAAAAAACCTTATCCTGTAGATTTTGATGAAAAAAATGAAACTACACAGGGTCAAAAGTAGGTGACTCCACAATCTCACAAACTTGCAAGAAACGTCCTCTCACTAACCAAAGAAAAAAAATCTTGAGGATTCCGAGATAATCTACAGAACTCACACTTATTATGCAAGGGAAAATTAACATTCTTCATAATTTTGTAATAGCACAAAAGCAGGCAATATTCAGTCAATATTCATTCAAGTCCTCGCCGTAGTCGAAACGTTGGAGCGATTCCGAATTTATCTTCCTGGGAAAAGATTTCGTCTCATAACTGATTGCGTCGCCAAACGAAGACCAAAACGACAAAACAATTGGTATCAAGATTTGCACGTGGGCTTATGAGATTGGTGAAACATGATTGTGAATATATCACGAAGATTCCCGAATGACACACGTTGATGCCCTGAGCAGATCGCCAAACGAACCTCCGATGGAAAGGATACAGCAGGTCTCATCTAAAGACCCGAAATTAAGCAACATAATTAGTCTTTTGAATGGTATAAAGAAATCGGACCAAGCGCGTCAATCTGAAACCGAATATTGCTTACAAAATCATCGTTTGTATCGAAAAACCACGAATGGATTAAGATTTGTAATACCGAAGAATATACATTGGAGAATTTGTATAGCCTGTCATGATGACATTGGACACGTGGATCTTGGGAAAACCTTGGAAAGAATTGAACGGACATTTTGGAGTTTGCGTAAATGTGTACGATAATACATTGCCGCTTGCATGGAATGTTGTTATAACAAAACAAAAAGAGGTAAGCCTGAGGGAGAGTTGCATTGTGATGAAGTGAAGCCTCTTCCATTCCGAAAAACACACATTGTAAACACGTTTTGGCGAGATATC